CCGACCGACTTCACCCACCCTTCCGCTAACCCAACCCAATCTGACCCCAAAACACAACCCGACTTACCGACCGACCGACCGACCGACCGACCGACCGACCGGCCCAACCCTACCCTACGCTACCCAACGCTACCCAACCCAAAACACAACCCAACCCGACCGACGGACCGATCGATCGACCGACCGACCCAACCCACCCTACCCCCGACCCAAAACCCAGCCCGATCCCAAAACACGACCCGACCAACCGACCGACCGACCGACCGACCGACCGACCGACCGACCAAACCCACCCCACCGCACCCAACCCCCAACCGACCCAACCCTATACCCTACGCTACCCTACCCAACCCAACCCAACTCACAACCCGTGACAAAATAACGTTAAAACGACGCAAGTCCTTTGTTGCAAGAAACCTTCCTTCTACCACCTTCCCAGCATACTATACAGAATGATACACACGACGGCTACCAAACTGTCTTGTTGAGCCTGTTATCCACAGGGGAGCTATCGCTGTATTCTTGGGATCGTACAAAATATTGGTATGCCTTTGCTGACGCTCTGAGTTCATCGCTAGTCTATCTTAGACTCTTTTCTGTAGATTAGAGATGGATTCGGTGTGTCACATGAAAAAAAAAAACATTTGGTACATCGAAATTGGGTGCTCAATTAGGCGCCACTTTTTAACGTTGAAACAGATATTGAACGAAGGAAATCTGGGGTTTGCGACGCGGGATTGAATCGTGGCTAGTAATATATAAATTGTGGGGAAGTTTCATCGGGGGAACGGACAGGCAAGGGCAGTGATGATGTAGTGGAGCACAACATCATCATCAGCAGCAGTAGCAACAAGCAAGTGTGCAACCGCAGCTGCTACAGTGAGGTGAAAGAGCGATCTGCCGTAGAGTCCACCGCTGGTCAGGCAAAAGGTCAGGGGTGGGCCTCGGTTGGGTGACTGAGCGGAAAACCCTCCCGCCCTCCCACCCGGGTTTTGGTGCAAGTGGGGGTACCAAGTTCAGGTGTTACAGCTTGGCCTAGGTCTACGTGTTTGTGGTGTGTGTGCGGAACCTGGGGAATACGTTTTTGGAGTAGGGTACGCCCGGGTGGTGTGATGAAGTCGTGGGGGTCCACGACTCAAAGTAATAATAGCTCCAGACCCAGATAAGCATCACAAAGTATGCTTTATCCAACATGTTTACACAACATGAAAAACCCTGCGAAGGCTCTAGTACTTGTAAGTGCGGACCCCTTTGAAATTTTTTTTCTCTCATAGGACCTTGATAGGACAGATCAGATAGCTTCAGATAGAGCTAGCTCTTTGAAGCGGTATATCCCTGTTGATCGGAAGGACATAGGTGATCGGTGTAAGTTTTCCCGAGGTGATCTGAAGGACACAGGTGATCGGGATATGTTCGCTCTCCATGGTGTTGTGAAGGACATATTTGTAGGTAGTCGGGGGTATGTTTGCCCGAGGTGATCTGAAAGACACAGCGATCCGGGTGATTTTGCCCGAGGTGATCTGAAGGACATACCGTATAGATGACATAAGATACCACACCCACAGAAGATACCACAACCCTAAAAACAGTTGATCATAATTATCCACAGAGCCCCTTATTACACCGGGGTGTGGCTTAGCCGTGGTCACACACAAAGAGCAGGCAAACCTGCGCTAGAGCTATTGCGACGGACAACACAGTGGAGATGAACGAAACACACAAGACTGCTGGCATCGCGGCTCAGACTGTATTGAGTCAGACTCCGGCGGCGGCGCCACGCCCAATCACGTCATTTTTTTCTGTGGCCCCTAAGACTCCCGCAGCACCCGCTGTGTCTGCCACCGCCCGTGCTGATGAGGCCCGTAGATGATACGTGTCACGTTATCACACCTCGTGATTATAACATACCACCTCGTTGTCACTCGGTCGTGTGGGCGCACTTCATCTCACGGGTGACATTTATCAAACCTGTTGTTTATCACATCCCTTCTGAGTGTGGTTTATCACACGGGTCACGCAAGATACCATACCCCCACTACAGATTACCACAAGCCTCCAAAAATGTTTTCATACGGGTGTGGTATCTTATGTCTCCTACGGTAGGTGATCAGGGTATGTTTGCCAGAGATGATCTGAAGGACGTAGGTGATTGGGCTAGGTTTTCCCGAGGTGATCTGAAGGAAACATTAGGTGATCGGGGTATGTATGTTCGCTCCATGGTGATCTGAAGGACATAGGTGATCGGGGTATGATTTCAGAGGTGATCAGAAGGACATAGGTGATCGGTGTATGTTTGCTCCGTAGTGATCTGAAGCACATACGTGACCGGTGCATGTTTGCTCCATGGTGATATGTAGGACATAACATGGTAGGTAATATGGGCTCCAGACTGCTGGGTTATTGTCGGACGGACAGACATGCATATGTAGGTCTAGCCATAAGCAATGGTGCTTGAAGCGTTTCAAAATCGGACCGCATAGCAGCTTCAAAAACCCTGCTTGTAGCTCACCAATCTCGGTCATAGAAGGATCGTTTGGACAGTCGCGGACAGCTAGCCTGCAGTGTATCACAAGGGCTACAATCTCCGACACTACAATTGTGCACAAGCGTCGACGGCAGACGGTTAATTTGTGATCGTAGTTTCGTACTGGAGTTAGACTTTGAGAAACTGAGATATGCAGGCAATTCCTGGATTTTTCAGAGGTCCTGCGGTCCCCCCCCCCCGCCCTAAATATAAAGTAAGCGAAATGGTTTCGAACACGATTGTGCCGCCGCCGTGAGAAGTCAACAGAATGTTTACGGCACGTAGAATAGCATGGCCGTTTGTTTCAGCCCAAGTCAGGGTACATATTGCCACCTAGGTATAAGTGCGTGGTAAAGATTGTACAGCAAACTTGTCTGCGTCGAGCATGCCTTCCGCTCTTCCTCTGCTGAGTTGGTGGCCACGAGTCCGGTACCGTCGTTTCGTGGTCCAGTATCGTTCATTCTCCAAATAGGCGTGGTAAATATGGCCGTTGGGCCCCGTGGTGATTTGCGGCATCTGTCGTACAACCTGGCCGCAATTAAGTTTTCCAAGCCATCCCACTACACGTGCTTCTTTGGATTGCCGTGGCAGGAGAAAGCTGCTTGTTTCCCTCAACGCGACACTCATGGTGGACGTCGCGGTAGTTATTCTCCGTGTGGTGGCGGAGATCCATGATGTGGCAGAAGGCATCAACGAGAACCATCGGCAAGCTCGCCGACTGCTCAAGAGAGCAATGGCCATCGAGACTCCCGTGCTCGCCGTCCACAATGGCACAATATTGTCTTCGTCCGAGTCACTGCGCCAGCTCTCAGCGACCGTGGAGAATATCCGGAACTTTTTGGAGGGATATGCGCGAACGACGAAACTCAATCGCGCCCTGAAGCGAAAATCGAACGCTGCCAAATTCACGCAACTCGGCGTCAACCTCACCGAGGGGATGCACGCCCTTCAACTAGACGTTGCCGTGGACGCGTGGGCGAACGAAGATGCATCGGACCGCCTAGAAGACCTCGAAAATATGGTGGACATGATGGAAATAATGGAGCGCAACCGAACGGAGAACCACGCAGAGGTTATGGATGTCTTGAAGGTGAGCATGAAAAGGTGCTCCAATCTCGAGACGTGCCAGCTGAGCAACCTTCTTGCAATACCGTACATCATTTTGCCGCTTTCGTTAGCTGTTTGGTCTCCTCGTCAGCGCCTGGAACTGGTCTGACGAGTAAGGTGTACCTCACTAGTAATGGACGACGGGTTTGTGTCATTTGCGGCACAAACACCTGGTGATACGCGAAGTAAAGAGGTCATATGGCCTCGGTGGTGCGTTCACCTCGGTACATTCAAGCTACGGGCTAGTGATCATCTGACATGTCTCCATCCCTCTCCTCGACATGCTTTGCTATCACTCAAGACACTCCGGAACGATGAGCGGTCGGAGCTAACCGGGTGGATCGAAATCGACTACGAGCAAGACCTGGATTTCGACGGCAGCACCTTGCTAGGTTCGGGGGGCTTTGGCGAAGTGCGCACGGCGAAGTGGAATGGGGCGGATGTAGCGGTGAAGCATCTCCTGGCGAGCGGCATTCAGCGCGACTGTGTCCGCGACCTCAGAAAGGAGATCCGCCTTCACTCCAGCCTCTCCTTCGACTTCGTGGCCCCGCTTTACGCGGCTTCTACCATCGCTCCCCACCTCTGCCTGGTCGTTGAGCTCGCTAGCGGGGGCTCGCTGCAACAATACCTGCACTCGGCGAGCGAACCTCTTGCACATGCGCTACAGACGGCGTTCCTGTACGACGTTGCCAGAGGCATGGCGTTCTTGCACGTCAAGGGTATCCTGCATCGAGACCTCAAATCTGCGAACGTCCTCATGTTCGCAAACGGGCGCCTGAAGCTCTGCGACTTCGGGTTGTCCAAGGTCAAGACCGACCTCTCAAGCAGGTCGACAAGGGGGGCTGTCGGCACCACCCAATGGATGTCTCCGGAAGAGATGGACGAGAGCCCTGCGAATGAGCTGACGGATGTGTACAGGTGAAGCATTGGGATTGGGTGTTGGCGGTTTCTTGTGGGGGGATGCGTGCTCGTGTTTTGCATGCCGTAGCGGTTTGACCATTGACCACGCTTGAGGGGGGAGAGTTTGCTCATTTACACGTTCTGCTGCTAAGCGCAAGAGTATCTACGCGCGATTGGCCTTCTGTGGCCGCATTTCATTGGCCCCCCTTCGCCACCAACGTTCCTCCCGCACCACCCTTTTACCCATGTGGGCTGGACCCGACCAGTTTTGGTGTCCTTTGCTTCGAGGTAGTCACCCGGACAGAGCCGTTCAAGGGAAAGAGACCTGCCCACGTGATCGGGGCGGTGCTCTATAGGAACGAGCGACCTCACATTCCAGAAGAGGCATCTGCCTCGCCAGACGTTGTGCCTCTGATGGAGCAATGCTGGAGGCAAGACCCTGTGGAGCGCCCCGAGGGATTTGGGCCCGTGGTTCGAGCGCTGGCGAGCGTGGTGTCGCGTTTTGGAGACCCTCGCAATCACAACGCCGCTGCCGCAGATGTTACCTCTTCACGAGGTGTAAAACTTGGTGGTACAGCACCACCTACGGCTAGTAGCGGCGTTGATGCGGCATCAGGTTGGTCTGGCGCGGCTTCCCAATCGACCGGAGCCGATCCTTGGGCCTCTCCTGATCAAATCAATCAGCTTCCGCCCGCTGAGCCCCCTAGTGGCAGAGATGATTCTACGCTCGAGGGGGGTGTTGCTCGGCGTGCTGCTAAGGAGACGGTGGTTCCAGACTCCGGGAAGGTATATGCGCCCTTTGCCTACCTGCCGATCGCGAGTACGGACCTCCCTCCGTCTGGTGGAGGTACCAGTGGCCAATTCAAGAATCCCACCAAGATGTTCGGCCAAAAGCTCAGAACAGAGGTGAGAAACCGTTTCTTCGTTCAGTTTTAGGCTACACCGCATAGTGCAGAAGAGTGCTCACAATGCCCAATGGTTGATAAGGCAGTTCGATTCATCAATGATCTCTCTCCTTTGTTATGTCGCTTTTTTAAACCTTGACCGCACGCGTGCACCCCTGCGCGCTTTCCCTTCGTATTCCAAGGTACCCGGTTCCTCTGGTGCAGCCAAAGGCGAAGACCACCCCACCAATGCTTTGACGCTTACCATTAGGGCACATATGCACATACACCTGTCGAGCTTTCCAATTAAGGTCGCCCCCTCCCAATCGGACCTGTTGACACAACTTGCCCTGTACGCGTAGAACAAGCACGCGGGAAAAAGGCGAATACCAGAGCCCCCACTGGCTGGTGGCAAGGTGTACGATCTGGACGACCTGGCGGTCGCAAAGGACCTGTGCAACCAGGCGGTCGGGTTGAGCCAACAGGTGACTATCGAAGACTTTTTGTTCCCCAAGGAACTATCGTAGAGCGTGACATTTTTGGTGAGTAATGTTGGCCACCACCTACGTCTACCCACTGCCAGATACATGTTGTAAAGAGCAAACTACACTGAGACCGAGTCATCTAAGAGCGACCACAGGCTGCTTTGATGGCCCTGGCTCAGGAGCACCCTCATGTGTCTTTGTCGCTCAACAACCGGGCGGGGTTGTTGAGCTTCTGTTCCTCCACGTTTCTAGCCCTCACCGCAATTCCTTTGCGGTTTTGCGTCGAATTACAGGGCAAGTATGAGGAAGCCGAACCTCTGTCGGAACGCTCCCTCGCCATCTGCGAGAAGTCTCTTGGCCCTGATCACCCTGATGTGGCGACAGCGCTCAACAGTCGGGCGATTTTGTTGATGAACCAGGTGAGAGCCAAGCCATCTAGATAGAGCCGAACATGTCCCTCCGCAGTTCTATTGAGCGATCGCACGCTGCTCGAGAGAAGGCCCTGGCTCAGGAGCACCCTCATGTGTCTTTCTCGCTCCACAACCGGGTGGGGTTGTTGAGCATTTGTTCTTCCACGTTTCTACCCCTCCCCGCGTCCCCTTTGCGGTTTTGTGTCGAATTCCAGGGCAAGTATGAGGAAGCCGGACCTCTGTTGGAACGCTCCCTCGCCATCCGCGAGAAGTCTCTTGGCCCTAATCACCCTGATGTGGCAACGGCGCTCAACAACCGGGGAGAGTTATTGATGAGCCAGGTGAGAGCCAAGTATTTAGCGCTTCTTGACGACGTTGTCCCTCCGCAGTTCTATTGAGCAATTACAGGCTGTATTCGAGAGGAGACCCTGGGTCCGGAGCACCGTCATGTGTCTTTCTCGCTCAACAACCGGGCGGAGTTGTTGGGCATCTGTTCCTCCACGTTTCTATCCCTCACCGCGTCCCCTTGGCGGTTTTGTGTCGAATTCCAGGGCAAGTATGAGGAAGCCGGGCCCCTGGTGGAACGCGCCCTCGCCATCCGCGAGAAGTCTCTTGGCCCTATTCACCCTCTTGTTGCGACAGCGCTCAACAGCCGAGCGAATTTGTTGATGAACCAGGTGAGAGCGAAAGGGATGCTTCTTGCCAAACTCGTCCCACCGCAGTTCTATTGAGCGATGGCAGGCTGCTCGAGAGAAGGCCCTGGCTCAGGAGCACCCTCATGTGTCTTTCTCGCTCAACAACCGGGCGGGGTTGTTGAGTTTCTGTTCCTCCACGTCTCTATCCCACACCGCGTTCCCCTGGCGGTTTTGTGTCGAATTCTAGGGCAAGTATGAGGAAGCCGGACCTCTGTCGAAACGCTCCCTTGCCATCCGCGAGAAGTGTCTTGGCCCTATTCACCCTAATGTGGCGACAGCGCTCAACACCCGGGCGAAGTTATTGACGAACCAGGTGAGAGCCAAGTCATCTAGAGACGAACCTGTCCCTCCGCAGTTCTATTGAGCGATCGCAGGCTATTGGAGAGAAGGCCCTGGCTCAGGAGCACCCTCATGTGCCTATATCGCTCAACAACCGGGTGGGGTTGTGGAGCCTTTGTCTTCCATATTGTAGCTCTCACCGCGTCCCCTTCGCGGTTTCTTGTCGAATTCCAGGGCAAGTATGAGGAAGCCGGACCTCTGGTTGAACGGTCCCTCGCCATCCGCGAAATGTCTCTCGGCCCTGATCACCCTCATGTGGCGATAGCGCTCAACAACCAGGCGAATTTGTTGATGAACCAGGTGAGAGCCACGCGATGCTTCGTGCCGAACTTGTCCCTCCGCAATTGCAACGACCGATCACCGGCTATTCGAGACAAGTTTTTGGGTCCGGACCACCGTAATGTGCCGTCATCGCTCAACAACCGGGCGGAGTTGTTGAACGTTCCACATTTCTACAGTAGCCCTCGCCGCGTTCCTTTTGCGGCTTTGCGTCGAATTCCAGGGCAAGTATATGGAAACCGGACCTCTGTTTGAGCGCTCCCTCGTCATCCTCGAGAAGTATCTTGGCCCTGATCACCCTCATGTGGCGACAACGCTCAACTACCGGGCGAATTCGTTGGTGGACCAGGTGAGAGCCAAGCCATCTAAAGACGAACATCTTCCTCCGCAGTTCTATTGAGCGATCGCAATCTACTCGAGAGAAGACCCAGGCTCCGAGCACCCCCATGTGTCTTTTGTCGCTCATCAACCGGGCGGGGTTGTTGAGCTGCTGTTCCTCCACGTTTCTATCCCACACCGCGTTCCCCTGGCGGTTTTGTGTCGAATTCCAGGGCAAGTATGAGGAAGCCGGACCTCTGTTTGAACGCTCCCTCGCCATTCGCGAGAAGTCTCTTGGCCCCGAGCACCCTGATGTGGCGACAGCGTTCCACGACCGGGCGAAGTTGTTGATGTTCCAGGTGAGAGGCAAGCGATTCTTCTACACATAAGAATATATTCCTCCGCAGTTCTAGATCTCGTTTTGACTGCAATCCAGCTCTCTGCCACGCTGCATACCCACATCCCGAGATACTACGAAGGGACGTTTCAGGACAGTTGGTGTGGTGTCCTCAGGACGTAGTGCTCAACAACCGATTGTTGTTGAACAAGAGGTTCAATTCTTCATTTTGTCGCGGTGAATTTGCTCAAGTCAGCGGGCTTGTTGACGGCAAAGGTGACAGCAGGTGCCAGTATTTCCGACGACACAAATGTGATGCCCTGTTTTTTTGTTTTGTTTTGTTTTTTTTCTTAATATGACACAACGAAACCATCTCTATCATAGAAAAGAGTCTGAGAGAGATTAGCAATGGATTCATAGCTTCAGAAAGTTTCTCACATACCATCATGTTTTTCGTATCGTAGTCTGACCGGACCATTGCTGCACCACTGCTTGTGTAGACTAGACTACGTGGTGAACGAATCTTTGTTTTCACCATTCTTCGAATACATATACCATGGTTGAAGGATTTCTCAACCCTGCATCTAAATAATACTGTATCCACAGGACAAGTGCACGGAGGCAGTGCCACCATTGGAGAGGGCCCTCAGTATCCGTACGGAGAAGCTCGGAGGAAATCACCAAGACACGGTCAACACTCGGGACTTTCTGGAACGTGTGCGAGAGAAGGTTGGTGTACAGTTCCGCCGTTTAGTAGGCAACGGTCTCATGCAAAACACAATGCGCGAAGACCTGGCACGTACTCACACTTTGTTCTATGTTGCAGGTCTGAAGACCGAGATCGAAGAAGCCGCTCGGGATAGCGGTCACTGAAACGCGACAAGCAAGACAGGGTGCAAAGCTCCCACGGGGAAATTGCACCAAGGGCAACGGTACGTCGCATATCTTGCCCACGTGCACGGCGACTGCGGTGTAGAATAAATGTTGCAATTCGTTGTTGATACTGACATCGGCACGTCGTGTTGTCACACCAAGCTCGATTTAAAGACAGCTTTGCCACCCAACGGATGTTCACAGTCTGGGTCAACACCCAGCCCCTAAGTGTTTGACTCTCGCTTGGTTCGTGGGATGGCCCACGCACAACCATTCCGTTCAACGCTGTATCCGTCAACGTAGAGGTGTGTGACGCACGACATAGTGGTACGGATCGAAGGCTGACGGTCGCAACCACATCCTCCACGGGGAAGAATGAATAACAGTCAATGCGTTGGGTGTCTCCAGAAATGTGCAAGTGGTGGCTTGGGGCAACTCCACTCTGGCTGAATACCCTGGCCTCAACTTCGAGCACAATGTTGTCGTCCGCGGTGTACATTAGCCCATCCGGGTCGCTCAAAACCAAACACAATACTGTAAGAAAGAGAAATGAACACGATCCGATGGAACGGTGAGTACGCTCCGGACATACGAAACACCCAACCTCTCCCGCACCCCAGTTCTATCCCCGCTACAACCCTGGCACTGCGTGCTCATCGTCTTCTTCGTTTGGAAACTCGACCAAAATATCTCTGAGTTTTCCCTGGGCGAACTCCTGCGCCGTGTGCATATCTGCCACGGTGCAGCCCCGGAGTTCGTGCAGACCCGCGACAAGCGCCAGTAGCTGCAGGGGACACCGCACAAACGTCCCCGGTAAGAGCTCGCCTGCTCAAAGTTTGCACCGGCAACAACAAGAAACACGGAACGTGAAAGCAGAAGCAGAAGGCGCGACGAGGTAGGTGGAACGGGCGGGTGTGGGTGTGCGGAGCTCTATTCTGGGCGATTTCAACGAGCTTGAGTGCGATCATGTAGAAACGCACAACGAACAGGTACACCACACGCCAAATGGGGCAGCGAGTACATGTCCACGACGAGGACCCGGATGGGGCCATGGAGGACAAACAGTACCAACGCGGCCACCCAACAGCAGCAGCAAAGGTTAACACCCACACGCGACACAAACATCAGCCAAACGGAACCCCCCTTAGCACCTCATGCACAAGCCAGTGGATACCAGCGACGAGACATCACCATCAATAGCAACAACACCACGCTGGGACGACGGACCTAGATTCCGGAAGCTCTGGCCGTGCACGTAGACCCCAACCATGCCGTCCGTGCGGAACTGAAGCTGGAGCGTCATCGGCCGATTCGACCGGTTGCGCACGGTGGCCACGCACTCTGCGACTCTCCCAAGCTTGAGCACGTCCGGAAGCCCGTCAACCGTGACCTAACGAATGGCAGCCGCAGCAACAGCACGCAGCAGGTGTTATGAGCGCACGATTAGAGAGGGAGACTCTTCCTTGCGTTTAGTTGTTATATGGATTTGAGCACGCCTATTATGGTCGGTCGGGAAGGCCACACGAACAGCATTACACACTACACCATTTTACAACTGCAACTAACTGTTCGCAGCGGTCAGACAGACAAACGCCTTTTTGTTGAAAAAAAAGAGTGGTGAAAGGTGCCCGAAATTTCCAACGCAACAAAAAAGAAAGGCTATGCCGATGCATTTTGTGTCTCGCAGATTGCGGAAAATCGTCCTACTCTCCGCATGCCTGTCGCGTGCGTGCCTAAGCCCGATCAGTCTTGCCTCGTTTAACGCGGGGAATTCTGAGCTAAATAGGGTCACAGATGGTATGCTCAAGAAGCAACAACAAACCGCGAAGACGACAACGATGACAACAAACGCAAGGGACACCAACAACTGGTGTCAAGACACGAAAGAGGCCCAACGCACCTAACCCAGGCTGGACGGCATACTGTACACACATCTAACACCCCCCTGGGATCTCTACTTCAAGTTTTCAGGGTTACGGCTAGGGTTATCTGAACTTGGCACATACCGTAACACGCCCCGCACATACCATACCCCTCGCACCAATCTCACGCCCGCCCGCGTCGCCCCCTACACGCCATGCCACGGCCACGACCGCCGTCAACGCAGGCAAACAAGGAATCGCAGACCAGTCCCATGCGTCACCCACGTGAACGCCCCATAATCTCGGCCACCCGTGACAAAGTTCTGGGCAGTTTTTGAGAACTGGCTCTCCTGCTACACACGGGAGTGCCGCCCAACAACGCCCCCCCCCATTGAAAACACCTACAGTACGCGCATGATTCACATGGACTGCCGTTATCCTTCGGAACGGGAGTCACGCCGCTCTGCCCTAAGTTCACGCACGATTCGCTGAGTATGTCAAGTCTGTGGTTGCACAAGACTTTCTCCACCAAAACGCTGCCCATTTCGCCCCCGTGGCAACCTCGAGTCCTTCGCACGGGAACCTAATGTCCACGCCGGCCGCGGTGTCATGGCTGCCACATCAACCGGGAGACTCAAACCCCGCTCTTGACATCCGACAAGAACGCGGTTGTTTGGGTGCGTATACAAACATGGCTGACGGGAGAGGAATCTTGAACCCCTCTCGCGACGTACGCTGGAGGCGTGTACCGCAAACGGAGCCCCATCTGCGTGACCCCGACTGATACGCCCAAACCATGTGGAAAGGCAACGTGCACTCAGGCGTCTAGCACAGATGGGATGACAACTACACGACAACAAAAACAATCAATCCTTTCCATGAGGTTGCACACTGGCGACCATTTTTAAAACGCTCAACCACTAGGTTGCATCGCTGTCTTCCAAGTCCCACGACCACAACACGGAACTCATACACGGTCCTCGGGGACGCACACACACGCGCGCGCAACGCACGACCCGCCGCTCACCTCAACTTCCGGTCGATCGGGGGCCTCGAACACCACCGGACCGCCCCGAATGCTCCCCGACTCCCCCGTGGTCGTCCTCCAGCACACTTCCACCCGGCCCAGCGTGTGGCTCCCCTCCCCGAACCCGCCCTCCCCCGCATCGCCCCCCGCCCGCGCATCCCCACGAACGGCGTCCAAATATCCCTCCTTGCCCGGGGGGGGGGGCGTGGTTTCTTCCTTTGGACGCACGGAGTACATCAGCTGGTGACCCTCCTCGGGGCGGAGGAGCACGCGGCCGTCGAAGCGCTCCACGGCCGTCAGTAGGCAGCGGTCGTCGTGCGGCGGTGCTTTCCCTTCCGCCCCCGCCCCCCCGCCCGGTGACGGGCCCCGTCCGTTCCCCCCGCCACCCCTCCACCAGCGATCTCTCCTCCGAGCCCCCTTCGTCGTCGCGGTACTCGTTCTTACCCCCCCGCTTTCCGCTTCTCCTTCTCCCTGGAGAGGTGGTCTTGCCCCCCCGTCCCTCGCGGTGTCCGCGGTCTCATTGTCCTCGTCCCACGGCGATGCGGCCAGGGGGTCGCCGCCCTCGCCTCCCCCGAGGAGCGACGCCTCCACCCCGCCCTCCGGGATGAAGTGGCACGACTCTAACAAGAGGTCCATCTACTCGAAAGGAAGAGCGGAGAGGGGAACGGTGATTAGTCACAAATGAACCGCTGTTTCGTGGGGGGGGGGGAGGGGGGGCACTGCTGTGGGAGGGGGAGCACTCGTTCTTGTTGGCTGCAGTAACAAAAAGGCCCTACAATGGTCAATTGCATCTGAGGTGAGATGAAGCGCCGCCCCTTGCACCATTTACTGGAGTTCTTGTATCCATTCCCACCCTTGTAAGTGCCACTTCCGGTGTGTGTTGCTCGTCGGGCGATTGATTTATTCTGATTTTTCGTGGTTTGCGTTAGCCATCTCCTGCACGACGTATGTGTAGTCTTTTTCGGCCACAACGTCCCGCGGCATATTTCTGCTGCTCCGTAAATCTAGTGCCAGCTTCATCACACTCATTCTTCACACGTTAGGGGGCGTAAATGAGGACGGGGAAACTCGTGAAGCGTGCGTAAGATGACCAAAAGAAGGGGCTTCTTTCTTCATCTACCCTTCTCTCCGGCAAAAAGCCTTGCGGGTCGACGAGACTGGCCGCGAATAGCAGGTCATGCCGGGGCCCCGAAAATGGGAACGTCACTTCGAGAATAGACAGGTCACCCAGCACCCCGGCCCTTGATATTTCCAGCCACCAAGACCCTCCTCCGGCCACCAGCAGACACGAAGATTAGGAACGCGATTTCTGCGATGTCTCTCTCACTCACCTGCGTGGTGTTGACCAGCTGCACCTCCACGAAGGGGCTGCCCCTCACCGCTGTGCAGACGGGATTCACGCTCACGGGGTTCATCACCGAGAACCGGTAAAACTTGCGCATGCTGCGCGGCTCAGACCCTTCGGGATCACCGGCCACGTGGTACTTCACCGTAACCTGTCGCGAGGCGACAGAGAGAGTGAGAGAGAGAGATCAACACAAAGTGCCCCAGAGGAGAAAAAGAAACAGCTGGAGACTCTCAAGGCGCTCGACACAGCAACTGCGATAAATAACTGGAGCCCGCTCGCTTGCCAAGGCCTACAGCACGGCGGAAATGTCTCCAATTGCCAAAACAATGCCCACAGCTGGGTGTCTGCACATCACAACTATTAGCCCACTCCTGCTCAAGCTGGGCACAAAGCAGTTAACAACACGCGACAAAACAACTTCTCCATTCAGTCATTTTCTCCATATATTCCCCCTCCCTCGCTGTCTCTGGCACTCCTTGGGTCGCTCCGTGCTGTGTCTTATCTCTTCAAGTTCTACGCCCTATGATCTGTCCTCTTTGCCCCTGTCACAGATCAAGCCCCCCATCTCCCATCCCCAACCGTTCGCAGTAAATGTTGCCGTCCCGGGGGTTTGTCTGCTCCTAGAAGGACAGTTGTTATCCTCTCTTTTCTCACCCTGAGCGTGTGCGTGCCGAGTTCCTCCAGAGTGTGCTCCACGATCATGTCCAGGTTCTCCGAGGGGCTGAGCAGGGGGGCCGGGTTTGGGCGAGACACGCTCGCACCCCTCGCCGTGCGCCTGTCCTCCAGATCCACCCGGCCCGTCGGGGACTGAAGCTTGGCCGACAGCGACGCGTTAACGAGCACCGTCGTCGACATGTGGTTCAGCACGCTATTGGAGAAGGGTAGGAAGACGAACAGCAGTAGGAACGGTTTTGCGGCGAAATATCAAGGGTTTGAAGATAAGACTGAACTAGCGGGAAAGTGGATGCAGTGATGGTTACGTGGGGAACCCAGGAGAGGCGCCATGAGAGCAGAGTCCTTTTCTGTTAACGGTGGGTTCTCAACAACCATCTGTGCATTGTGCATCATGAGAGCAGCGCGCTTTCCTATAGCACCGCCGGCTCTCAACAACCCGACCTGCTTAGCCCGCATGCAGGTTTAGCCTGCAGCATGTGACGTTGCCGTTCCCCCGGGCTCTCTACTGCTGCTTCTTCACTGGCACCAATTTCGGGTGGCGAAGTTTCTTGGCGACACAAGGGAAGGACACGATTCGCTGCAAGTCTGCTGCTGTGTGTGCGGACAGATTTTGCGGGAGCAATCTACGGAGAACCGCGGGGGGAGTGGAACAAACAGGTAACACCCAGCACCCACCAGACCACTACCGGAAACACCACATATGACCACATGACAGATGATAGAGCTCTCGAAATATAACACCGGGAATGTGGGCAGGCACCGAGGCCTCTGATTCACACCAACAGATCGGCGGTATGTTGCGAGCAAACCCTGTAAAACATGTGTTGCTGGCGTACATTAGAAGGTTCCATCTCGGTGTGGGTATGTGAGCAGATGATGGTGACATGGTTTTTTAGTGTGGGGAGGGGGAGGCCATATGCGTGTCCTCTCGAGGGTAGAGAAGAAGCAATCGCTGCTGCAGCTGCAAAAAACTGCGCCGAAGCCATTTTGTTCTACAGCAGTTGTATCTACAAAGGCTGTGTATTGCAAGAGCAGCAAGTATCTCCGCGGTGTACGTGTAGTCGTATATACCGCTGGCCTCCCCGGAAAAGGAGCATCAAGATGCCCCAGCTCTCGTCACTTGCTCGGCAACAAAGAAGCCTCGCAAAACCGTACCTGATGTAGGCCGTGAAAGTCTCGCCGAGGTAGATGTTCCCGAAGCTATCAGGGAGTTTGAGGGCGCTGCTGAGAGCGAAGTCGCCCTCCCCCCTCGTCGATCCCAACGACATAGGATCAGAGGGGGTAGCTGCGGAGCAGGGCGGAAGCACTCTGCGACCATCTAATCGGGGCTTGTACAGCCGCATCACGCGCAACGTGGGCTGTTCGCTCGTATCCGCTGGTGCAGGCGGCATGGCTCCCCTGGCATCTACAAGCACCAGCAGCTATCGAAGTCTCGTGTGTGTCTTGCTTCGCTTGTCGTGTTCTTGTGTTGCTTGCCTGGAGGGGCTCTCCAGCCTGCTCATGCCGAACTTTGATCCGCGGAACCCCCGGCGGCGGAACCAAATGGCGAAACGCGAACCAGGCGGAGATTTTCCTAGGGAGATCTTTGCGCGAGTGGGACCATGATACCATTCGGTTACGGTAGCTGGGCGACACGTGTGTGCCGGCCTTGGGGCCGAAGGGGTAGGGGAAGGGGCTGTCGAATCACGATACTTGTCATACCGCGTGCTTTGCTAACGAGGGGGAGGAGACACGATCGTCTCGAGGCCAGATTCGGATCGCCCGTCTTGGGATAAAATAAGCATCACGATTCCTCCCGGAACACAGCACACAACCCTGTCGGACGGCGAAATTATTAGCCAGAGAGAGCACAGCGGGGCGTTGAGATAGACAAAGAAATATTTCTACTTCTTGACCACGAACAGCATTGGGTGGCCGCGGGACCCCCTTCACGTCAGACCATGATTCAACCCGGACCAAGCTCCCTTGGCTCTTTTGCTGCTTTCAAGGCGCACGAGTTTGTGGCACACGCCGGCAAGACCAACTGCGTCGCCGTTGGGCCGCGATCGGGACAAGTCCTGGCTACCGGAGGAGATGATAAGGTGCGTGCAGAGAGCACGGCAGCACGCGCCATAGTAGTAACTCCGTCATTCCCCGAAGCTGTTGTTGGACCGTGCGTGCTCGAGCACCAACACACCTCGCGGGGAGCTGCAATCTGACAAGTGTAACCCCAAACTTGTGTTGCTAGCAGGTCGCGAGAAATGGTGGGGGAAAATGTCATGAGCGATTGGCAGAACACGGCGCAATGAGCATACTGACTGCTGTTCTTTTTGGTGTACAAAGTACACAATGTACTGTCTAGTTGTACCCACATGTGATCATTCTCGTTTGGGTTGTCTCATGACGACGTTGTGACCGGGGCAAGCGTAATATGACATCATGTCTCTAGCGACAGACAATCAGTCATGCACGCAAATAGACCTGTGGGGAGCCTGCCTGAGTCATATGCATAGTTCTCGCCTTACCATTGTTTGTTCCCCTCACGACCTCGTGTCGAAGTTGACCCATCAATCGGTCTTATGATATTCTCAAGATAGGCCGTGGCGACCAGGAAAATCTGCTAAACACGGTGAAACCAAGTTCGCCTCGTATCCCTCTTATCCATCGTTTCTGACGGCGGGGACGTTCCCCATTAGGTCGGTGAAGGGCTCGTCTCACGCCCAAGCGGCCTAGGAAGTCTACCACAACCCGAAACCGCCATAAACTAGTATTTTTCTACCCGATGGCATGTAATGTACAGAGCCTGCTTCAAAAGCACAACGAACCAACACATGAGAAGTACTTCCGAGGAAGGGAGGCCATGAAACGACCGGGGATAAGTGGAACGGTCATGTGGGCACGCTGACTCAGCCATGATCAGGCCGCGGAGTCATCATGGAGACCTCATTCCCCGGGAAAATCTCGTGGCCTTGTCGCCACGACACCATGATTCTATGACCTAGCGTGCCCGATGGTTTTCTCACGCGAAAGCGTACGATCGTTGTCCCAATGATGCATGAGGATTGCCAAGATTGTCTACCAAGATTGTCTGCCAAAACCACGGCACCACACGTAGTCAGGAGAGTACACACAACCACGGTGCAATCTTGCAGCAGATCAGGAAACCATGCCTGGAAAAGTCGGGAATACCTGGAAGTGTCTCACATTCCCATGCATACCGGGGGTAGAGTACTTACAGATGTAAACCTTCCTCGGCAAAACCCATCTCGTTAGAAACGTTTGACGTTATGTCCATCGCGGTTGACAAATCTGTATGCACTCTAGACTTTCCTTACGAAAGTTCCGAGAAGTTTGCGTCGCATGGGGCATATTTCTAGGCCTACCTCCTGTTTCTCGGCCAATGGCGGGCGCGAAAGAGGCGGGCGCCTATGGTCAAGACCTCGTCTGTATCGTGCGCACTCCGGGCAAAGCTCCTAGAAAAGCACCGGTTCCACAAAGGAAGGGCTATAAGCTGTCCCCCGCTGCTCCGTCGCTCATTCTGACACACGTGGCCGCTTCGGGACAGAGAGTAAATGTGTGGCGAATTGGACGTGCCAGCAGCATTTGGAGCCTCACGGGAAACAGCTCGGCCATCGAGAGCCTGCGGTTTGATCCCACAGAAGAGTTCCTGGTGAGCGGGAGTGCGGGGGGTGCCGTAAAGTTGTTCGACCTCAGCGCCGGCAAGATGACCAGGCACTTCCGAGGGCACATGTCCAACGTAACCGTCATCGACTGCGGTAGCTTCGACCGCCGTTTCGTCACTACTGGTTCGATGGACTGCCAGGTGGGTTTCAGGGCAGATACACCCCACGTTGAGATTGTGAGACTCGTATAAGTATATATTTTGGTGCTCTTTGGTGAGTAGTGAGCCCCCAATCGTTGACTGTTGGCATCCAGCACCGGCTAGAGAAGCTTTGGTTTGTCATCCTGTCGCCACAGAAAAGTCGGTGGATTACAGGTGTCGTACCAGCCGTACCTGTGGTCGGCATGTATCACCACGCAGAGGAAGAAACGTCTTACGATATTGTAGGGACTCCTTATTCGAACGCCTGAAGGCGTTTACCGCGAAGGTCTTGACCTTTCATGTTCGAGTTGACTCCTTCCTATTTTTGCTCCTGTTCAAGTGCAACGGTCGAGTGTGGCCTTTCGGACGGAGCCTGAAAGCGAGGCAATCAAACATCACGTTGTCATTGAACAATGTCTGCTCCGACGCGGTGCAGGTTAAACTGTGGAACGTGGAGACGAAGGAATGCGCCATGGCGTTCAAGGGGCACAACGCAGAGGCAAGCACTATTTGCAAGAGAGCTCGGTTTAGGAAGTAGGACCATAGGTCCTGTAAGTGCTTCAAGAGCTCAGAAAAACGAGCCGGGGTCTGAAGCACTCGTATAGGTGCCGTTGCTTTGACCCTCACGAAGATGTAGTCATCCAATATAGTAGTAGCCTGGTCTGCGACTATCCCGTTCATCCACCGCAAACCTAACATCAGCCATACCTCCGAAAGCGTTTGACTCTAAACGTTCACGGAACTTTGCCCGCACCTCTTGATAACACTTCATCCCTTCGGGGTTTCGTCCAAAGCTGAAGACAAATGTGCAGTCGCCACCCTGCCGGGAAGAATTGTGTGCTGAAGTTCTCCGCACACGGTGAGGTACCGTCGACTTGCTTCGCGCTTTGCCTTTTTCAGGTCACAGACGTCCAGTTTAGCCCCGACGGCCATATTCTGGCCTCGGCGGCCGCGGACGGACAGGTCAAGCTGTGGGATCTGAGGGCCGGAAAGCCCATGCACACGTTCCAGGTGAATGGCACCGGTACATAGCCTTGGCGAAGAGGTTTGTTTGGATGGGCCTTCCTGGACTGAAGTGCGGGGAGTTAGATTTATTTCGTGTGCAACGATAAATCCCGTGGAACCATGATTTTTCCAGGGTTGGCAATCCTAAACCCGTACGGCCCAGGCTAGTCATAGCCCTTAAGCAAACGCCACAAAATAAGCTCCTGTTTGATCTCTATGTACTTTCCTTCACCCGTTGACTGTGATTGGTTATCAGGCGAACGAAAGCCGAATATCTCGACATCGATCTCATACTATTTCTATGGCTCGGATGTGTCCTCAACCATCGCATTTTCTACGTGATTGCAGTTGGTGCGAAACCCATCGGTCGGACACCAAATAACGAACAAGTCAGACTCAGACTAGTGCAACGAAGAATTTGATATCATCTTCGATCACCTCTTTCATAGTGTACAGAAGATATAGCCGGTGCAACTCTCAAGCCAGAATATCCTGCGTTCCCACATGCTGATCGTACAACGCAACGCGCGCATGCTCTAACACAACGCTGCCCTGCAGGCGTGCTCGGGAGCTGTGCGCGCGATTCGATTCAACCCTCAGGAGTTCTTGCTTGCGGTGGCCACGAGCGATCGGACGGTGAAGCTCTACGACATCGAGTTCATGGAGCTGTTCTGTCCCACGGCGCCGGATACATGCCCGACCAGGTGGGAAAAACAAAAAATCGGCTGGTAAAGTTCTAGAGGCTGTGTGGTCGCTGACTTCACGACCGGCATACCTGAGTTCTTTCGCACACTCTACAGATCCGGAATAATGAATGGAAACCTGGTTTTGTATGAGCCGTACAAGATTCATCACGGCGGAACAGACTGCCCCCCACATCGTCCTTCGGCGCGCACCGGTGCTCCCAGGGCCACTGCGTTCTCTGCCGGTGTCGCCCCCTAAAACTGATGCCGCCGCTGTTACTGTCGCTGCTGCTGCTATTCCAACTGTTCTGCTGCTACCGCAATAAACTATTGCCAAAACTTTACGAGCCCCTTGGTGCCGACCCTGTTTCTTCTTCCGTACAGGGCGATCACCTTCGACCCAGACGGGCAAAAGATGTACTGCGCCAGCCCTTCCGGCCTGCGGAGGTGGAGCTGGGACAACGACACCGCGTCCGCGCGGCTGGAGGCCATGGGTGACGTGCCGTGGGGCAAGGTCGGGGCCGGAGCGCTTCACTACAACGCCGACGGCCAACAGGTAGGGCAGTGCTCGAACTTGCTACTTCATGTTTTGCCTGTTGAGGTGTTCATAGCAATCTCCAGGAAGTGGGCACTCGCTTTCTGTAGAGGACCCTCTATCGACGGCTTCGTTCGCTTCCGGACACCCCCCAAGGTGGTGTGGCCCACGACTAAATCTCTACCCTTAGGGTCGCAACTTGAGTACCCTGTACCCCATGTTTCTTCAGTGTAATCCGTGCACGTAGCGTCTACCCCACCACACCCTCTTTTCTCCGGTCTGTCGACGCCTCACTCTTGCTCCCTTCGCTCCCCCCCTCCACGTCCTCACGTCAGCTCCTAGCTGCTTCATGCGCCGGTAGCCGGGTTTCCGTTTGGGCAGTCGATTTCGACTCTCGGGACGTTCTCCAGTCCCGATCGCATCACCAACAACAGCAGCAGCAGCAGACCAGAGACACTTTTGGGTCAGCTACAGCAGCATCAGCAGTAGCAGAAGTCGCATCAGAATCATCGCCCCCACTCGGTACACCGGCGCGAGGGGCAACGACAACAGCGACGGAATCCCCCTCCGACCCTTCTTTGTCGACGACGGATAGGGAGTACGGGGATGGCGACGCTAAGGTGCCTGAGGTATAATGAATCCGGCATCTGGGCCTCTGCTCTAGTCATTATTTATGAAAGAACGATATGATGGAGGGTCTAACCCAAACTCTTTCGCATAGGATACCATGCTGGGTTTCGTTCATTCTGGATAAACCGTGACGATGATAGTCGAGAGGGCCGAAACATTGGCTCTAGAGGGAGAGAAGCAAGAAAACATGCTCCTTGCTGAAGGAGTTATTCGGTAGAAAAACGACGACCAAAAACTCATATCACGGGCCGCCCTTCCACACTCATTGCTAGGCTTACGCTTACCCCGGGCAAAACCACCCCTTCCCTGTTTCACCGACAGCAGTCGAGACCCTCGAGGGGTAACACGTTTCCTGCAAGCAGAGACGGGCAGCGCTCCCACAGCCGGGATTCCAAGCCGACGATGGAAAAGGAAGCAAGCGGCGGCGACGACGGCTCGAGCGGCGGCGGCTGCGCCGGCAACGCCGGCAACGCCGGCATGCCGGCCTTCCAGGTTCTCGGCCGACAGGTGGTCCTTCTCCCAACCGCCGCCGAGGAAAAAGTGAGGTCTTCTTCCCCGCTGGGGGGCCCAGCCGCCACGCCAGCAGCAAATCCTTCGGGGGTGACGGTAGGAGGGCCCTCTTCGGCCGTCGGCGGCAGGCTCCAGAACCGACACGCGGCCCGCGCGGAGGCCGTGGCGGCGACGGTCGCCGCCGTTGCCTCCGCCAAGGCCGCCACCGACGACGCGGTCGCCTCCGTGGCCGGCTCGATCCGTCACCGTAGCGTCGGCACCTCCATCTCGGACACGCTCGTCATCGCCGACGGCGGCACGGCCGACCAAGCAGACGACAGAGCTGGGGGCAGGGAGCATCGGCCGGCGGCCTGGTCCGAGCCAGCTCCCGGAAAAGATGACGGAGGGAACTACGGCCGTGACAGCGGCCGGGGCGTTGCCGCGGCCCTGGGCGTGGTTGCCGCCGGCGATCGTCACCGCCTGGGCGGTGAACGGCGGGCGGCGGGGGGAGCCGGCGGCGACGACGACGAGTGTAAGTGGCACAAGCGCGTCGCGGGCGCGTTCGCCGGAGTGGAAGGCACAGCGGACGATGAGAAGGGGGTGGAGCGAAGGGGCGATAGCGGCGGCGACGGTAGCGGCGGCAAGAACCGAGGAAAGCGTACCGCGGATGAAAAAGAGGCGCGACGCGAGGAAGACGGGACGGATAGAGCAGCAAATGCTGGCGTGTCTTCGGGTGTCACGCCCCGGTTTACGGTGAACCCTTGGCCCAAAGATTCGCGGGTAGAAGCAGGAGGTAGAATCAGGACTGAGGTACCGGGAGGAGGACAAGATTCGCCTCCGCTCTTGGGCTCTCCCGAACCGGCTCCGGCTGCCGCCTCGAACCCAGCTCGAAGCAAGAACGAACCTCCATCTTTCCCGTCTTCGTCTCGGCGGTCTCCGGACCGCCCTCAACCGAGAGAGAAAACACACGCCGTCGTCACGCGCTCGTCTGCGGTGGGATTTCCTATCACGACGGCCGACGGCAGCAGTAGCGGTGGCGAGAGCAATAGCCCGCCTGCCCCCTCCGGAGGTTTGCCGCCGGAAGCGCGTAGAGCGGGGGGTGTCAGCGCGGTTGCTGCTGCTGCTGCTGCTGCTGCTGCTGCGTCTGGGTCTGAACCCGAGGGTCTGAGTGTTGCCGATATCTTCGGAGGCGGTGGCGGCGGTGATTGTGGTGGTGGTGGTGGTGGTGGTGACGAACTGGGCATGACGCGTCCTAGAACGGCCACGAGGCGTTGGGATAGACCGGGGCCACCAGGCGACGACGAGGTCATCGCCAAGACGCTGCTTTCGCGGGCAACCGCGACCTCTACGCTGTCGAATCGGTGAGATAACCGTATGCAGTTGCGTTCGTTACCAACGTGAGGCGAGATGCTTTTCTCCACCCGACGAACGTTGTCCAAACAGCCTGTGAATGCAGTACATGAGACTTGCAAACCGTGGACGCGAGTACCTTTCGTCCCAAGGCGCTCCCGCCTCTGCACGCACAAACTCTGCTACGAACGATCAGATTGGGCCTATGAACAGATGTTCAACGTCACACAAACTCTTGTCGATTGACCACTTTACTCCCAGTTTTCGTGCCGCTTGAGCACGTGCGAGACCATGTTCAAGCACTGACCGAATGCTACCCCACCTGCCCCGTCCCGTGCGACAATTGTAGCTTGACTCACCTCCGGATGCTCCGGTATGGTTGGGCGGACGGCGACGTGTCTGGCACCATCTCGAAGCTGACACGGCTTGAGAGGTAGGTCAGCAGGCAGGTCATACCCGCCAGCCCCCTCCCTGTAGCGACGCGTGCCACAGGAGCTACAGCGATCCCGAGAAATCGCAGTAGGATTACGGCTGTTTGTTGAACGACAACTCGAAGCCAACGGCAGCGGTTCTATGGCACTAGTGTGATGGGCGACACCCCCGGGAGGTCCTTCGTCCATCAATTTTGTCGTAGCCGGTAGCTGGTGAGTCGTCTCATGCTGATATGACGGTAGCTTCCCCGTAAACACGACCCCTTTATAACCATCTGTACCTGATGTGCTAGTCACCCTGTTCGTCGATTGGTGCACGCAACCTAGGTCCGCCACTGTTGCCGACGATTCTCCGAGGACTGTGGTGGCGGACTTTCTGTGGGTGGTGCCTCTCGACGGGACTCGGGTGACCCTCGACCACTGCTTGGAGCTGATGCCGCTCCTGGAGGGGTTGTGGAAGGTGGCTGAACCCCCCGCCTGCTGCCTTCATTCTTGACGACTCGGTTCGCTCCAAAGTAATCGTTCCCTGTGATCGGAGTGTTCAATCATCTTCGTCCACCTTTTAGCTTCATTGCGGTTCGTGTTAGGGATCTGAAAGATAGCTGTGGCAATAGGGGCGCACCGTACTACCGCAATGGAAAACGGTGAAGCACGTAAGGCTCGGGCTAGAATTGTTCCTAGCACTGCGCTTACAAAGCCACTTCGGAGCAGTGAAATTCACGTTGTTTTCCCCCTCATATTTTCGCTTGAAGGCTCTGACCTCTTCTTTGAAATTCATCCAAGACTATTTCCCACGTGTTGACTGTGCGCAGCTCGATGCGGGCAGTTGTGTCGCCGCGGCGACGCGGTGCCTGGAGTCGATCGTGCGACGCTTTGGAGGCTTCATTCGGGACACTCTTGCGGCCCCGGTTGCCGCGGGGAGGGTGGACTTAGCCAGGGAGGACAGGATAGCTCGCTGCCGTGAGGCGCACAGGGTGAGTTAGGACGCGACGGAGATTCGGGGGTGCGCGTGGGGGGGTGCGCGTGGGGGGGAGGGGGTGGGCAAGGGCAAGGTCAAAGACAAGGGGGGAGAGGGGAAACATTGCAAGGGGGTCCCATTTGCCCGAAGGTTTTTCTTTCACAGCTGTGATGTCACAATGTCACCGTCAGGGGTCTGATCAGCACGACCCGTCGACACTGCATGCTCCACAGCTCTGAGTTACCTTACCACCAACCAAGATGGATCTGAGCACCCACGCGAAGAGTGCACGCATGATTTGGGTCAGATTGTAGTGGGTGCCCCCCCGACCTTGTTCCCCGGGTATGAAATGGTGGATATTGGCGAGGTACCGGATTAAGGACTCGTTCTATCCTGACGTGGCAAGACGCCACCTCCGCCACACCCACTACGAAGACCGAACACCTCCCATCGTGCACGTTCTCCCTGAACTAACACTGTGCTATACTGAGGCTGCGTTGATCACAACTGCCGATTCCCCCAAGCCGCCGTAGCACAAGGCAACACGAATCGAGCGAAAAAAGATTAAATCAAAGTGTTTTCGTGTCCTCATTCGTGCCGATCATCTGCTTTCTCCGGCCGTTTTCTTCACTGTTTTCCTGCTGTTCGGCGGTGCGCGCAACACGCCCCACTCCACCCCCCCCCGCTCGAAGGCCTTCATTCGGGGCTATCATCACCTCGAGAGATCCGAAGGGGAGTTCTACGAGGACAGGAGGATAGCGGCCGTGGCGGAACGACTGCGACCCTTGTTCGAGAGCTACTTCATGTCGTGACATGCAGCTCGAGCCGTCATGCGGTGAATTGCTATCGCAGACGTCGCTTTCTCTCTCTTGGACACTTAATGAGAACGCAGATCCAGGACCTTTGGAGTGGTTCCGGGGGTGCGGAGGGGAGCCGCAACATCGTGCACGGCAAATCGTTGAACTTGATCAGCAACGAAAAGGTCTCTTAGTAACGTTGGCAAGTCAATGTGTTGGGTTCTAATCCCTGGTGTGACACGTCTGGTTACAGCAAGCGCTTGTGTGTGTATGAAAAAGGGGAACGACAGCAGTTCAGCCTCTTTAGTGATAAAACTTGAAGGCGAACACCGCAGACAAGTTCTTACGTGGCTCCGGCTGGTACAACCAAAACACATACGACTGTGTAGCCCAGGGCATCCAGAATGGATGTTTTTTTTCAGTCAACAATCCGCGCTTTTTAAGCAGCTCTGGTTTCCCAGAGTAGCTGGCCTGAGGGTTTGGAGTCTGCCGGTATTTCTTAAGGGCGCTCGCCAAGCACCGGGACAGCGGTTCAACAATGCTGAGCCTTGTGTCGTCGCATATGCGAAGAGCGCTGCATGAGTAGCTGGGTTCAGGGCCACACAGAGAAAAATCGTTCGGCGATACATGCCTAAACGTTCAGCACGAAAGAAGGGTTCAGCAGTCCTTCCATTGTTATTCTCACGAACAAGCGCTTTCCGCCAACCACACGAATGTACCAAAAGCGGAACACGCAAACCTCATAGCCACATGGTTTTAGAGAATGCGAAACCGCTTCCGAGGTGTCCATGACTTCCCATTTGAAGGAAGAGACAGTGCGGTAGTCCCTCCTTGCCCACCCTAAAATGTCGCGGACATTGACCCTACCTAGTGGAATCCAGGCCTGATTTGTACCGTCTCGATTGCACTTACAATACGTATTTGACGGCTCGAGAGAATCTCGCCTTCCGCACACACTGTCACATGGGTATACGCAACGCAGAAAGAAAGTATGCTCGGTGATGGCACAGGGAGGACACTGCATCCCTGTACTTCGGCATCTCAACTGAAAGCCTGAATGCTGTGGGCGCACAGGAAATGACTCCTCAACGTCTCCTTTTCGTCAAGCGTGTACAATAACATTCGTAGGTTAGACGCCCAGCAACTCTGTTCGTGGGAGCGGATCAAACCACCTTTTGACGCACAGGGGCATTTTCTAGGCGATTTCTTGTGAGAAAGCGGAGCGAACCAAACCACGAGAGCAAGGCCGGAACAATTGAGGCTCTCTGCTGCGCCTTTGGAGCGTGTGGACCCATCCACTAACGCAAAAAACAACGTAGCCTTTCGCCACCGGCTCAAGTCATGGCAGCACGACCATAAGCAAAAAAGACCTACGCGGATTTGGTAGCAACAAGCCGAGAAACTTATGCGGAGTGTTCAATGATGATCTATCTACTTTCACTAGGGAGGGGATGCCTGAGCAGATGGTACATGTTTCCTCGTTGACAAACTCTAGAGTCCGCGCAAAATGTTCTAGCGTGTCATTGAAGAGCCACTGGTTCCGCAACAACTAACGTAGGAAACATCTCCACCAATACGTCCGTGCTTTCTGCGGCCCGGTCTCCCAATGACCGCAATGCAGGTTAGAGCAAGTAAACAACGTACAGCAACATTGTTCAAAAACTCATGGCTCACCCTTGAAGACGAAACCGTAAATCAACGTGGTCGCGGAAGGAACACGATACACCAACGGTCATGCACGTGCTTGCCTCACAGGGACCATTCTTGCTTCAAGCCACAAATAAGCACCCTTCTGGTTGAAAAAACAACGACCATTTGGATACAAACGTGATTATCCCAATGATTTCCAAACAGAGTGGTATGTGAGGCGCCTTCTTGTTGGTTCAGCGGCCCACAACGGACTCGTAAAAGGACGCGATAACGGGAGCAAGCTGCTTCCTCGAGGCCCTGACGTTCCTCAAATCCCATCGCAAAAACCATCCGCTGGCTCCCTCTTCTGATCCCTCCACCTCGTCACCGCGGCCGCCGAAACCAGTTCCCGGTGGCGCTGCCGCCTCTAGCTTTAGGAACTCCCCGTGGGCGCCTTCGAGGTACTCCCGCATCTGGTCGCCCCGAAGCTTGGTGTGGGTGAAGATGAGCAGTTCCTTCCGCATGTTTTCCTCTTCGTCCAGAGTACTCTGTGCAGGGGTAAAAAACGCACAAGACCCACGCGAGGGGTTGAAAACCGTATCCCAAACACGAGGAAAAGGATTATCCTGGTATTTATTGGTTTGTCTTGAGTGCTTCGTGTTCTTCAGGTAGTGACGCATCTAGCGGACAAACGAACTTTCACATTGCGCTTGTTGAATGGCGAACCACCTACGTCACGACAGCGGTTGCCACCTCCCCATCTACGCTGTCGATCAACTAGAAACCTCCGTCGGGCATTCCATCAATGCGATACGGTAGAGGTTGGCGCTAAGTGCTACAACTTATCCCCGCCAACCAAGCCTACCGTCATCACTGCCAGCGAGTCCACCCCCTGGGAGACCGCAAACGTGCGCATGGCATCGCCGAATCCTTTGTCTCCTCCCTTCTCCGCAAGCGTCTCCAGCCGGCACAGGGTAGAGCTCATTCCAAACTTCAGCGGACGGGGCGGGTTGTCGTGATTTTGACGGTCGTCACGGTTACTGGAGGTCCCTGCCGAATTTAAGGGAGAGGCGGAGAGGAGCGCTACTGATGCGTGTTGTGTCAAACGTGACTCCGCTTGTGACCATTCCCCCCGCCCTTCAATCGAGCCACTTCCTAACACGACAACGACGACGACGATAAAAACGACGTCCACACCCGGTTGCCGGCATCTGCCTCACCGCCGATCTCGCCCGCCGCATGAAAACTCTTGTAGTCGTAGCGCAGAGTGTCGATCGCAGAGATTTCTCTCCAAAACGCCGGATCGAACTTAGCATTTCGCAGGGTATCGAACAACTCGTCCGCCGTGGTGCAGCAGCGACCTGCGGTCGAGCAAAGGCGCAGCTTGTCGTCAAGCCCCTCAGTCAGGGTTTGACCTGCACCCCTTTTGTTCCTGTTGCAGACCAGCCAACTCACATACTGGTGTTGCGAGCGACAGGAAAGGATCTACTGTGCTCATCGAGCGCCTGCAGCCTCCTGCATGTACGAGCCGTTGCAAACACATTTTGCACCAGCGAGGGGGGGGGGAGGATTTGGTGCGCACATGTCTTCTCGTTCGCCCGACCACCCTCCGTTGGCGTCCAAGCCGTCATGTCAATGTACATACTACGTATGCATCCGAGGAAGAAGAAGCCTCACGTGCTGAAGAGGGAGAACATTCCCCAGAACCTCGCGCAGACGATGGCGACCACGACACCCGGCGAGACAGCTCCTGCGCAGCGGCGATATCTCGACGCGTCGCCCGTTTGATCTCCATGTCGAGGTTCAGCGTGTCCACAAGAATCTGGCGGCGGGGGGACGGAAGAGACACCAGGTTTCTTTGGCAGGGCGAGAGACGCTAGAGCCAACAGATTCAGAGAAACGTGGGTAGTACAGCCCATCAATTTGCCTCACCTGTTTGTTCCTGTGAGACGCCATCTCTACGATGTCGACAACACTCCCACCGCCACCCCCCTCCCTCCTTCTCACCACGCCCAGCAGAAGTTGAGCAACGTCCGAAGAGAGCAACGCCGGCGCCTGGTCGAGCATCCTCTCGGCAACGATCGTGCAGCAGGAGCCCACCAGCGCCTTCCCGCCCCCGTCATTCGCTTCGAAGGCGACGTCCCTGCGGCTTCCTTGGACGCTGGGGTGTTCTCCGAGGTCAACGTGGTGGTCGACGATCTCGACGACGGCATCTCCCAGTCCGGAGAGCCCCCCAGACACGGCGTTGTGGTCCGTCAAGGTAATTCGCAGTTTTCCTTCCGCCTTGTGTAGCGGAAAACGCGGAAAATATATATAGCAAGCCGAGGGCGTGGACGCGGCCGGTTAGGTTGTAGGAATTGGGCCGGAGGAAGGCATGCAGTGCGTCCTGTTGGGTTGGGGCTTGTTTAGACCAAGCGGAACGTGGAGTGCGAGAGCCAGCCACGGCTTTCCTTTCGTAGACCAAATTCAAGACCACCGAACCAGAGCGTCAACAAACATGCAGGTCGTCGCAAAGAAAAGGCGCGCGAGTATCTCCAGCGCGACGACCCCCGGTAGGTTTGATCGCGCCTTCGTGCTTTGTTACTCGCTCGCGCTCGCGAATCTTGCACGAATTTCGAGATGAACTTGAACGCAAACTTGTTCATCATAGGTGCCGCGTACCTGCAACGCGTGCAAGTCAAGCTCGTCAGCGAACACAATCGCCGAGGGATCGACACCGCACAGTTCGAACAGCACTAGCACCTCGCGCCGCAGCGCCAGGTCTCCCCGCGGGATCGGCATCACTGTCCACTCGAGAAAACAGGCAGAGAAACAAATGAAGATGAGAAGGGAGTACGGGCTGCGCAGATGAGGGGCGTAGCAGGAGAGAGCACTGAAAAGGTGCAACCGAATGTGCGTTATGCTCCATGACCATTTGACTGTCTGATTGTTGGCCCTTGCCACGCCGTGGGGATCTTAGTTCGAAGTTTCGTTGTGGGCAGCGTATGCCATACCAGGTGAATACTTGACCATCAACTATGCTCCGCGGCACAACGTCTTGTTGATGGATCTACGACAACGAGCAACGATTAGCTGCGCTCTCAACCAGGAAAAGGCGGAACGTCTTCGTCTATGTGCCCAGAGCTGAACTGACAGCCTCGGGGTGTACACCAGTGGAGCCGGTGTAAGCTTCAAAAGATGGTTTACAGTTCAAAGATAGATATAACAGAGGCGGTCACGTTGCTGTCCAACTCTAGAGGCCTGTGATACGCCACGAGCGATCACGCTGTACACACGTGATTCAGGGCATCGTTCACAGCACGAACATATTACTTGCCAGAACAGCCGCTGCAACTGATGCTGTTGTAAGCGATCAGAGCACGTATTCACGCAGACTTATCCTCCTCCGACCTATCACACACGGGGCTTTTTTTGCTCACCCGGAACATGAACGACGTCGCCACCATCATCCGCAGCGGCAAGGGCGGCCGTTGCCTGCTTCAAGAAGGCCATGCCGATAGCGCTGCACATGCTGTCAGCGTCGCATGCTTCATTGCCCGAGAAGACGTGAAACAGCAATGTCTCTGTCTCTGCGGTTGCTTTTGCAGTGTTGGCCTGGCTCTGTTGTTGCCTCCTCGCCCTGGAGGAACAGGTCTCGAGGAAGCTCGGCAGACTCGGCAACTTTTGCGCATTGCTGTTGCTTCCGTCCATAGTATCGCCACCGGTCACCGTTGCTGCCGTGGAAACGGCTCGTACAGCACTCTTAGTGGCTCCGCTGCTACTCCCCACTCTAGCCCTGTTGATGCTGCTTTTGGTGGTGCTGCTATTGCTGCAGCCACGCACGTGTTGGCGTTGAGAGGAAGCGAAGGCGAGTTGCCGTCGAAGAAGCTTCGGGGTTTCTGGCAGGGCTGTCGCTGGGAGAGCAGCGCGCGGCGCGAAGAAGAGCAAGGTGGCCGCAAAGTAGCGAGCCGCCGAGAACTGAGAGTTGGCCGTTGCCCAGGTCGCCCGCATACGCCGAATCCGCTCGCGGCAGACAGAGCACACGGTAACAAAGCACAGACCTGTGGACCGTCTATTTATGCATATGATGAGTGTTCAACCTCGCGGGTGTGTTGTACACACAATTCTGCCGGCCTTTGCACTTGCTCCGTTGAAAATGAGACCGGAATCACGACGTGCCCCGGCGCTATGGAAGCATATGCTTGTTTTCTGGCCGCCCCCTTCGGTACGCCCAGGCAGGGCGCGTGTTGCACAGCGTAGTTGGTGGACTATGTACAGCGGCAACGCGGCGCAATTACGCATGATTCGGGGCTCCGTGTTGTAGACTTCTTCTTTCTTCTTGTACCTGTCGGTGTCCCGCGAATCAAACCAACAATCATCCCGCACAGCGCACAGAGTGCACTATCCACAGGAGCGAGCAAGCGAGCAGACAGCGAGCGAGAGCGAGACCGGGTATGGCTGAGGCCGCGACCCATTCGCGACCTATCCCGAGCGGATGGTCAGACAGCAGTGACGATGTGAGTGTCTACATGATCGATTTCAAAGTTTAAGTTTTGACCCACGTTCGTGATTTGTACGTGAAGTTCACCGGAGATGATTGCAACGTTGCAACATCACCACCAACGACAACCGCAGTATGCGGTGGAAACACCGCGGGATTACTGCTGCCTACATAGATAGCTGGTGCTTGCACACCCCATTGAATGTTATTTGGCACTAAGCGGCGGTCTATCCAGAGCTACTGCTTGTTTGCTCCTATCCAGCTTGACCGTGCAATACGCACAGCAGTAGTCTCGAGGAGGCGCGGTGAGATTATTACCCTTTCCGCACGCCGTCTTAGTCGCGAGCCGTATGCAGTGGGTTAAGACAGCACGAACCATGGGGTGATATGAAAAGAGGATAACGAACAAAGAAACAAGTTTGTGTCACACACACGGGATTGGTTGATTGGTTGTACTTTGGCAGTTTGGTCAGTTCCCGACGTACAGAACCCCGCCATCGGAGATATCGGAGATATCGCAGATATCGCAGACTAACTCTGTAGAAGTGGAGGTTTGTTGTTTGGCAGGAAGACTGAGATGTTGTGTGCTGGAAATCGAGGCGTAAGAAGCCACGGCGAGCTTTTCCTCAATCCCCCCATCGTTCGGCGTGTCCATCTGCGCAAGCAACTCTAACCGTCGAAGACCCTTCGTGTAATGAAGATTGGTGCCGGCGTAGTGCAACCCGTACCCCAAACCGAGTGCAAGCCTTTTTGATGTCGTTGGCTTTATACCCAGGTTGTTGGGTGATGTTGTGGCCAGCCCGACCCATTCAGACTGAAGCACATGGGGATTCGCGTGGCGCTTACCGCTGCAACATGTACCCTAGAAGGCAACGTCGTGTTGTTGTGCTACTGAATCGATTATGGCAATTCGTGCCGAACCCGGGGAGCACCAAACAAAACCACTCGACAGACAAATTAGCATTTCTCGATTCTTGTCGTCTACGTCACCCATCAAGACGCGATACGTGTACAGCCAGCAGAGGGCGCTGTAGAAAACACAACCTGACACTAGGTCTCCCCCCCCCCCTACGACGACCTCTCGTTCGGCTCGCAATGGCGGACAATTAAATACGAACCACGAAGGGCAACAACAATAGGGACGACGCGGCAGCAGGACGGGGCGGTGGCGGTTTCGACGACAGCAGCAGCGACGGCGGCTGGAGCGGTGGCAGGGGGGGTGGCGGCGGCATGCGGGAGTTCGAGCGGAGCTCGGCCGAGAACACTCGAGAGGCACTGCTCGACAACGACGCTCTGCTGCTCTGCGAGCCTCCTGCCTCGGCGAACGCCGGCAGCGCCGACAACGACGGGAGGCAGACTTCTCCGTTGTCGCCCCCGCCGCCACCGCCGGTGCCGTTGCGGTATGTCCCGGGGGACCCTTTCGCCAACGAAGAGGCCGACGTCGGAGCTTGGGCGAAGCACTTCACCTATCTCTCGGTGGTCCCAACAGAGAGGGGGGAAGGAGGCGACGCGGAGAAGCGGAGCAATGATAACGCGGGCGGCGGGTTGTTGGAACGGGGCCCCGTGGCGGAACCTCCTCCTGTGCGGGATGTGATGGAGACGGACGAGGAAACGGGCGGAGTTGCGGCTGTTGAGGGGAGTAGAATACAAGACTTAACACCGGAGGAGGCGGCGGCTGAGCTGGCAGGGCGACGATTAGAGGAAATGCCGCAGGGGGAGGAAGTCTTCGCGAGCCACGGCGTGTACGAGGAGTATCTGGCGTACGACTGCCGACCCCCCGGCTTCGATGACGTCACTTCTCCGGGCGGAGAAACCATGGGGCCCGGAGAAGAGGACCCCAGATTGGCGGCCAAGGGTAGCGGGGCTTGGGCCGTGACCGGGGTTGTTCCGAACGCAAACTCCGCCGTGGGACAGGGGGCGTGGGTGAGCAACAACGCTGCGTCAGAACCACCAGCGCTAGGAGCAAGTACAACGGGGGGCTCGCACCGAGTGGTCGCGAGGCTAGACACGCCGCAGCGTGAACTTAGGCAGGAGATCATGGACCGTCTGTTCGACGAGCTGTGGGAACGAATCACGCCGGACTTGTTGCTGGTTCTTCGGCAGCAGCAGGCGGCGGCCGGTGGCAGGGGAGGAGGGGAAGGGGGGGGGGAGGGGCTCCGCACAGCTACGCGAAAGGACATGGAGGACTGATTGGTCGAACTTTCGTGTTTTAGGGCATTGGACAGACTAGAGGGGGAGGACCAGAGCATCACGACACCCTCGCATCACTCAAGTGTATCCCGCGGTTCGCGATTGGACAGGCAGTTGCTGAACGCGAGTGACGAGTGAGCGAGATGGAGATCTGCAACAAGGGTTGGTTGTCTTCGAGTTTTGTCTTGATTTCTTGGGTGCATACAGTACCTGATCTTCGCGCGCAATTCGCACGTGCGTGTGATTTAAAGGGAAAATGCTACCCAGACGAAAGCCGGATCTGTCTCGCCCGGGGCACAGGGTGTTAAAACGATTAAACGAAAACATGTCACGCGGATAACGTGTTGAACGCGAAATGTCGGGCATCGCAGCAAGCACACCGCGAAAAAAAAAACGCAGCGAAAATCTCTTTGTTCGTTTTGTGTCTGCTCGCTTTCACCCTCGACTCGAAACACGATCACCATGTAAAGCATGGGGGTACACGTGATCATCGCCATATCACCATGTATCGAGGCACACTTGTTGTGTAGCAGCCATGCGTTTTAGTGATAACAAGGCAGAAATACAGAAACGCCGTCCGATTTTCTTGCGCTTTGATGATGTTCCCAAAAAGATCGTTCCCATCCTTGGGATGGGGATGCTTCCACTTGAAACAGACTTGTTTCTCGGCAGATAGACCAACACCCATATAGCAGCGACCATGATAGCCAGAGAGCGCCCTGTACTCTACAATCCCCACCATCAGCAAAGTTCGGACTTCCTCCCCCTGCCTCTCCGCAAAACCACGAAATATCCTACGGCAATCAACTACAACACAACCTTCGGGCCTTGCCTCTACGGGTCAAACTTTTGGTGTGCGGAAATTTTCTGCTATCGAACCGACTGGCCAACCAAAGCGATCGAGCACCAGATGCGTTGCTGCTGTTCAGGTGGCACCCACCACCCACGAACGCCCTGCCTGCGGAAACCCGTTCGCAAAGAACAACGGGAAAAGCTTGCTCCTGATCCCCTTCTCCCCGCGCTTCAAACCAAACTTCATGGTCCCTAGAAACCTCTCAGTTGGCCCCTGAGAGGTACGCGGGCGTAGACCCCCCCCCCCCCCCCCCCCCCCCCCCCCTTCCCCTTTTTCCTACACCTC